TGCTGCCGATACTGTCGCTGTTGACCATAACGCGGCCATGGCTTGAGGCCCCAGTATCTGCCCTATGGCTCCCGCTGCTGCTCTGCATTTCCGCTCCTACAACCCCGCCTCTTCCCCCTCGTCCGCCTACCTCCCCTGCCCCCTCGCCCGCCGCACCAGACCTATCTCTGTCCCTCCGCGCCCCTCCGCCCCAACTTCCGTTTTCCGCTTCCTGCGTCTCGTCTGCCTCCTTTTCCTCCCTCTCTCCATCCTCGGCTCCTTTCCCCCTCTCTCCCATTTTCCCCTTCTCCCCCGCTTCCCGCACTTTCCCCACACCCATTGCCCCATCCTCCCCCTCCACCTCCCCCTCCCCCTCCCCCCCCTCCTCCTCCAGCGGTTCCCCGTCGTTGTCGTCTTGCAGATAGTGGCTTAACGAAAACGAAGGCGGAAAAACCGCACGCGCGGAAAACCGCGGAGATCCCCCCATCCCCCCGCTCGCTCCTGCGGCCGCCGCTGCACCCGCCTCCCGCGCTCCCTGCACGCCAGAGTGCCCGTTAGCTGCGGTCCCGACACCCAGACGGCTCCCGAAGCTGCCTGGAAGGTCCCCCAGGGGGTCGTTCTCCTCCGACCCGCCGTCCGCGGACGTGCTACGGCTGCTGAACGCGCTGCACACCGCGGAAGAGTGCTCGCCCGCGCGCTGTTCGCCCGCGCGCTGCTGCTGCTGCTGCTGGTGCTGCGCGCGCACTGCCAGCTCCTTCTCCGCGGCACGCGCGTCCACCAGCGGAGATACCGCGTGGAAGCTCACAACCTCCGCCCCAACGCGCTCCCCGCCGCTCACGCTGCGGCTCTTCCGCAGCTCTTCCGCCCTCCCGCTGCCCGTCCACTTCCCGTTCTCCGAAAACGCGCGCCCGCCTAACCCTAGAATCGGCGATCCCAAGGGGCTGTCGCTGTCGTCCGCGCCGTCGTCGCTACAGCCCATTGCGGGGGGGGCGGGCGGGCCATCCCAGCTGCGCTCCTCCTCGTGCGGCACCTCCGGCACCGGCGCTAGCGGCGATCCCGGTCGGCTCGAGCCGTCCAAGCCGCCGCTCAGCCTGCGCCCCAACCCCTCGCCGTCCCCCGCTCTTGGGACCGCGATCGGGGATAATAACGCGGACGGGGAAAGGGCAGGGAGGGGGATCGACACGCCGGGCGGCATCGACGCGACGGCCGCAGCAGTCGCCGCGGCGACAGCGGCGGCGGCGCTTTCGAGCGCGGCGTCCGGGCTGATGGCTTTAAGCGCGTCTAGAAGCTCCTGAATGGTCGGCTGCCCGCTGTTGCGCGGCGCCTGCGCCGTGGGCGGCGCGACGGGGGAGCGGATGATATCGCCGGCGCCAGGCAGCTCCCAGGGGGCACTATAGCCACAGCTGACGCCCCTCGGGCTGCTCGCGAGACTCCCCGACATGCTGTGCGCGGCGCTGCTCGCGTGGCTTCCTGCGCGGATGCTTAATCTCCCCGCCGGGAAGTGGTTTGTCTCAAAGGAGTTAATCTCCTGAAGGTCTTTGGGGCTGGTTTCTCTGCTGCTCTGCCCGCTGTTCAGCTGCGTGCCGCCGTGGCTGTCGCCACGTGGACTGCCGAAGAAGCTGCCACGCGGACTGCCTGACCAGCCGGCACGTGGACTGGCGCCGCAGCTGCTAGCCGGGCTTCCGCAGCAGCTGCCACGTGGACTGCCATCTCGGCTGCCGACGCCGTCCGTGTGGACCTCTAGCCGGTTCACCTGCAGCGACAGCCGTTGCATGCCGACAGCACCAACCACGGCAGGTGCCACGTTAGCGTACGGAGCCTTAAAGATAATATCGGGTTCTGCTGAATCGGGAGAAACGGGCTCCGCGACGGGAATGGGGGGAGTGAAAGGCGGCGGGGAGACCGGCCGCTGGATTTGAGGTGGCGAACCCCGCGACAACCTCGACGCGCGCCCTGAAAGTTCCGCAGATGCGCTCACAGGACGCTGGGGTAACTCTGCCGATGCTAATCGCCTGCCGGTGCCGTCGCGGGTGCGAGGTACGTTGGCGACATTCGACCCGTACCGCTGATCGATCGAACCGTAGCCGTCCACTGCTGCGACGGCTGCTGCGACTGGGGACATTCCCAATCTACCCAGCTGCGACGCGTTCGCGACGTCGAAACAATCGCTGGTGCTGCGAGGCAGGAAGATAGAGCTGGGGGTCGTCGGCCCCACGTCCATGGACCCCACGCTCTCGCTCCGCCTTCGCCACGGGGCAAACGATGGATGCAAGCCCGATTTTGGCGGCACGGTCCCCATGGATGACGTGGCGGAGAGCGTGGCGGCAGGGGGACCTTTGAAGGTGCCGGTGGACCAGGACGCGGGGAAGTAGGACGCGCCGCCCGATGGGCCGGCCATGGGCGAACCAGTTGCGAACAAGCCGGCACTCATGGACGAGCTGCGCTGCGCCCGCCTGAGGTTGTGGAAATGGAACTCCTCGCTCTCGCCGCCCGGCGACGGCGGGTCCATCCTCTCGCTCATGCTCTTCGCGAGACCTTTTCCGGAAACGGCCGGTAAGTTACCGCCGCTCGTGCTAACGATTCGCTCGCTTTTACTCTTCAGTAGCGGGAACTGATGGCACGACGCATCCTCCTCCGGACCTGCTCCCTCCTGATCCTCCGACACTAACGTTTTCCATTCGTCCGAGAAATCTCCGGCTACGCCACCCGCGCTGTGCCTTCTCCAATTCATGCTTGCCCGTTCGGCTGCCCGTTGTTTCCGCCGTTCCTCCTCTCGCTGCTTCCTCCACATCTTGTCCCATTCCCACTCGGAGTCGCCGTCAACATCCATGCCTTCACCACGGCTTCAGTAGAGCGAAAACTAGAGATGTGACTTGGGAAAAAGATGGTGCCAAATAGTAAGGAGCATGAGAGGACCTACTAGACTCGAGTGATCGAGTGAGCGATGGTGAATGGAGGAAAGGGATGAGGCGAAGCTGGAGGTAACGGAAGGATGGCTCAAGGGCCTTGGTTCGGGGGATTCGAGAATCTACTGTGCTGTTGGGTTTCTGTCAGTAGAATCGTATGTTGCCATTATTGTGGTGTACAGTTTGGTGTTTCAAAACCACTGTGCATATCCTGCACGGCGTGTCGAACTGTACGTGTACAGTGTTGAGAATACAGTAAGAGGACATTTACACCGCCTTGGGGCTTGCTTGGCTGCACAAACACGAAGGCAGCAGGGCCTCAGATAGGATTCAGGGGACCCTGACCCATCAGGGCAGTTTCCCCCAAAAAAAAAATTCGCCCTGATTGATCAGTGCTGAGGTGCATTCAGGATCCTGTTTTGACAGGGTAAATACTAATGTAATCCTGCCCTGTCAGGGTAAAAACTAGTGTAATCCTGATTTGTCAGGGGGGTAAAAAACTACTTTACCAACACTGTTATGTATGTGAAAAAAATTCATTCCACGTTCTGACAATACAATCATTATTCAAATCCATCTAGCATCCTCCATCAGCACATCATCATCATCACTATATCCTCCTGCAACATCATCATCTGAGTCATGGCCGCCACCGCCATGGTCGGCCTTCTCCTGCTGCCTGTCACTGCTGTTGCCTTTGCCACCATCAGCTGCACCACCACCACCACGCTTCTTCACGGCATGAGGGGGGTTGCTCTTACGCTTGGTTGGGCGGCGCTTCTTCGTACTGCGCCACAGCTCCACAAGGTCTTTCCACTCGACGTCGTACTCCAGCAAGCTCAGCGTCATGAGATCACCAAGCTTCGCGTCGTGCAATCCCGTCCGCTGCCAACTCTTGATGATGTTTTGTCGGGAGAAGCCGCGTTCGCACTCCACAGTGCTAATCGGCAACACCGCCACTGCTACCCATAGCCGCACCAGGTTGGGGTAGCTCCTCGGCCAGTCTGCAGTGGCCATCATCGCCTTCAGGCCCGCATGGAAGGCCTGCTCCTCCTTCGGCGCCCCGGATAGAACCGACAAGAAGGTCCGCATCTCCCTTTTGCACTCCCGCTTCGTCACACCTGGCCGAAGGGACGGGTGATCGATAGCAAGGGACCGTAGTGCAACTCAAGGGGCCATATCACGCTTACTGACACATACAACAAAATCGTATACCGGAGCAAATCACAAAGACGAATACGAGGGGGAGGTTTACTCACCTGGTAGAACTTCCTCTCGCTCGCGCGCATGGAACATGGTGTAGAGGCCGTCCAGATGCTCAAGGCACACCGCGTCTCTCGCCTCTCTTCCCCGCGGCCAGGTGCGTGGCATGAAGAGCTTAGCAGAGTTAAAAGTTGACAGACTGCCGAGGCGGAAGTTAATATTGTATATTAGCTCCGTCGCGAACGACCGACATGTCCGCACACACGACTGGAGGTCTCCCGCGCTGGTGGTGTAGCCCTTTACAGCTGTCTCGTGCAGAGTGAACTCGTGAGTGCATGGCTGACGATCACCGTCCACGCCTTGCACATGCACGTCTCGGCTGCACGGCGAGCTGTGCCGCGCGAGAAACGTCGACAGCATTGCGCTTGCACTGCCCCCGAATTGCTGACCACAATCGATGTAACGCTCCTGGAGGAACACGAGGATCCGCCGCACCTGGGATTGCACAGCGATGAAGTCCACCTGCAGGTTGGTGGTGGGGGGGGGGGAGGGTAGGGATAGCACAACAGAGAGGAGAATAAGCACAGAGAAGCACAGGCATACACGCGTATTCGCTGACAGCATATTACCTCGCGCTTCTGGAACATTAGGTTGAGCATGTTCAGCTCAACGTGAATGTCTGCAAAGAAATAGAGGAAGACATGGAACTTCAGAGATGTCACCACCAGGTACATCGTGGGGTCCAGCCGCTCAAGTAGGACCACCACCGCCGGGAAAACCTTCACGAAACGGGCGATGGCGTCACCGCGGCTCAACCACCGCACGGCATGGATGCCCTGAACCTCGAGGTTCGTCTGCGTGAAGACCTTCTGCAGTTCAAAGAAAGTCTTGTGAGAGTTGCTGGAGCGTCCGAGATGTTCGGCAACTGCACGAATGACGGAGTCGACGAGGCTGAGTTCAGGCAGGGCGATCGCAGAGTCTTTGGCAGCGAGAGCTTCCCTGCCAAAGGGGCGGGCATGTCACGCAGGAATTAGCGAATGCAAAATATAATATACAATAACAACATTAAGAGGTAAACGTTATACCGATGTGCGATACAGTGAGTTGACACGAGATGGGGAACGGTTAAGCGAAGCCGCGCGGCAAGACCAGTACTCCCGCCGATCATCACCATGGCGCCATCGGTGCTGATTCCCGCGATCTTGCTTAGCTCGATGTTGACGCTCTCCAATTACGCAGTGAGGACACCAAAGAGGGACCTTGCATCACCCTTGTCAACAGTAAGTAGAGTTAGAAACTCCGTGACAACCAAGCCATCTCGCAAAAAAGTCACAAACACAATCATGTGTTTCTCGTGCACACGATCGGTGCTCTCATCGCAGCTCAACCCGATAAACGGGCTTGCGTCGATGTACTCGCGCTGTTGGCCGTGGAGGTAGGTCGCCGATGCTACGACAAGCTCCTGGAATCCGTACCTGCAAGGAAGGACAACACAAGGTTGAGGTTATACGAAAACACAACACAAGAATCAACAAAAATAAGAGCAGTAAAACCCACTCTTACGTGGTATAGTACGAGCCGTAGCCACTTTTGGGGAAGCCCGGAGTGCCACGGCTAGCCAGATGCCGAACAAGCTGCACCCACATCTCGATTGGTGCATCAGTCTTGGCGATGAAGAAGAGCGTCTCCAACAGAGCCCGCACTTGCTCGTGCTCTAGATCCCGTGCTTGAGGGAGATCCTCGATTCGCTGTTGGCTCTTGACCTTCGCCAGAGCTAACTCCTGATTGTGAAGCGCATCCTTGTGCTTCCCGGACCGCTGGTGAAGCCGCATGGCTTGTGTCTGCACGTCTGTAGCCCCTTCACCCCTCGCGAAATTCGTCCCTGCGCCACCATACTCCATACAGATGGTACACTTCATAGAAGGAAACCCGTAAGACGTCTGGCAAATTACAAGCCAAGGAAAATCAGTAGTCCAGGACTTCTTGAAATTGAAAAGCGCTTCCTGGTAAAGATTCTCAGCGATGTCGGGCAACACTGTGTCGGCTGAAGCAGAGGGGCTAATTGATAAGAGAACGGTCCGTGTAGCCTCGGTGGGTTGGGTTTGATCTTGCCTGGGTGGTGCCATGGATGTGCGCTCGAAGGAGATCTTGGTCTGGTGGAAGCGTGGATTTGCAAGCTTCTTGGAAGGGGGTCCCACACGAACAGACCCTTGCACGGCTGCACGCGAGCATTCGGCCCGTGTTCGAATCGGCGGTGGGAGGTCCGAGTTGTCGACGACAACCTCAGTGACTGGACCTGACGGAATTGCAGGCGAAGGGTCTGCTGGCGACGGAGCCGATGGCGGAGGTATTGGTGGCAAAGGAGCCGCTGGCGGAGGTTCTGCTGGCGATGGTACTGACGGCGACGGTTCCGCTGGCGCTGGAAGGGCTGTCGAGGGTACTATTGGCGAGGGAACGACTGGCGCAAAACGAAGGAAATCGAGGCCCGTTAAGGGCTGAATAATTACGGGTTCGTCAGGCATGACGGGGGCTTCACCGACGCCCTGTGGCGACGGTGAAGCCATAGTCTATTTCAGCTTCGGAAACAATGTGTGAGATACGATGTCGAGGAGGTTGCAAAATGCGGGCGGAAAAACACTAACAAGAATGATTCTATCACGTTTCGCCTTGCATCAACAAAGGGATGAAGCAGGAGGTGGAGGCACTGCTGTCGAGAAGAGGAGGAGATGGAACGGAAACCCTCCTTCTGGAGAGTTCCACGGTCATGCGCCATGGCGCCCTGTCGTGACCTGAGGTGTGGAGGTTGGCCGAGAGCATGTACCCGCCTTTGATGGCCAGGGAGGTAGCGCATGGTTAGGTTTAAGCTAAGCGTGGCAAAGTTGCCGCGTGCCGCGTGGGTTCTTTGCTGCGGCGGGTCCTGATTGGTCGAGATGGCAACTTTGATGTGTCGCTGTACAGCCACGCGCGAAAAAATCTGTACAGCGGTGCAAATTTCATCATTTCCCACCGCACATCTCGCATGTTGCGCTGTACCCCTGTCGGTAGTTTTGTATCTAGTCGCCAAAATTTTTTTCGCGGTACAGGCTGATTCAGTGTACTTTCCAATAGGATCCTGATGGATCAGGGTCCGGGGTACTTTTAAATCCTGAGATCACAGGATGCAAAATCCTATAAATACTGATTTGTCAGGCCGGTTTTTATACAAATACTGAAATGTCAGTCCTGGGGCACCATGCAGATCCTGAAATCAGGGCATTCAGGATCTTTTATCCTGATATCTGAGGCCCTGGAAGGCAGCCACAAAACGGAAAAAGACAAAAACAAAAACAAAAACAAAAACAAAATAAAACAAAGCAAAAAAAACATATTTCTCCTACGGATGAAGTGGTATGGGGAGGGAAGGAGGATAATT